AGGGACTTGAGGCTGTTTTCGTTAGAGAGAAGAAGGTTAAGAGGTGATTTAATAGAGACATACAAGATGATCAGAGAATTAGATAGGGTGGACAGTGGGAGCCTTTTTCCTCGGATGGTGATGGCTAGCATGAGGGACCGTAGCTTTAAATTGAGGGGTGATAGATATAGGACAGATGTCAGAGGTAGGTTCTTTACTCAGAGAGTAGTAAGGGTGTGGAATGCCCTGCCTGCAAAAGTAGTAGACTCGCCAAATTTAAGGGCATTTAAATGGTCATTGGATAAACATATGGACAACAATGGAATAGTGTAGGTTAGATGGGCTTCAGATTGGTTTCACAGGTCGGTGCAACATCGAGGGACGAAGGGCCTATACTGCGCTGTAATGTTCTATGTTCTATGCGATTTGATTGCACTGTCAATGATGCCTTCTGTTATTTTCCTCTCAATTGAAAGTAAACTGATGGGGCAGTAATTGGCTGTGTGGCATCTGTCCTCCTTTTCTATCAGGACATACCTAGGCAATATTCCATATTGTCAGGTAGATGCCAGTGTTATAGCTGTATTAGAACAGCTTGGATTGGGGCATAGCTAGTTCTGGAGACTACACTATATTGTGATGCCAGCTGATGTTATTACTTGACAAGCCAGATTCTAGATTGAAATCTGACTTAGTATATCATGTTTTGTTTTATTTTGTTTCATTGAATGATGCGATCTTTTAATTAAACACAACCATGCATTACTGATGACTTGGTTTTAACATAAAACAAGCTTATTATACAAAAGAAATGAAGATAAAATAAAATAAGCCTAATTATTTACAAGGAACACAAGTTTAAAGATTTCAAAATCCATGGTAAAATGCAAACCCATGCTACACCAATTTTGAGACACACTTCAGTGAATGTATCCTCTAGATTCAACTCAGGATCACACTCTGATGAGCGCATGTCTCCACGAATGGACAAGGAAGAAACATCTCAGGTTACTGTGAAAAAGGAACATCAGGTTCTGCTTTTAAGTACCTTTGACTGATTCCAGAAACTTTGCTGACATAAAATAAAGGCAATTAATCTGACAATGTGATGCTCCTGATTACCTGAGGCTAAGATTTTGAAAGTGCACCCTTTGACAATGAATGGCCTGCTGATGAAGTGCAAATGTAAACTAGATGGATGACATTTCTAAATCAGTGGATGTATCATTGCTACAGTTGCCCCAAGCTGGGCCTCCAATTCCAAATGTTTTACTCTGCTGCCAAAGAAAAACACCTTGCATGCTGTGTCAACTATTTTATGTAGTTATTGTGCAGTTAACTTCAGATCTGGCATGGCAATGTTTTAACTGTGGGACTTGTGAGTGAGTTCCAGGCTCCATGAGATGATTTTTCTCTTATCCTTCATGTTGCCTTTTGTGTTACTCTCCCTGTGGCCCTTATGATGTTTTAGCCTTCCCCTCCCACCTTATTTCCGTTGAGTGCCTTCATATGACAATTATCATATGATAATTACTTTACCTCCCTGAGTGCATGACGTTGGTAATTCCCATTTCTTGTTGACTTGAAACCCACCCCATGTAGAGGTCAGATTGACTGTGACCTATCCAAATTGCAACCCCCACCCCAAACTCTGAGAGCTCCCAGCTAAGATCCTATTCTCCAACTAAAACTGTCAGCTTTCCCTCAGTGACCACAGTTAAGTCTATCCCTAGACTTCAGTAAACTGCCTTCCCGAAGAATCCGCGGACTTCCTGATAAACCTGTTATTGACCAAAGCCCCACATCTGACTGTGCGAGCCCCCGAGCCCAGCCAAGACTGACTTGGGAGGACAGCTCCAACTGAGCACTGCCCAGCTGTAGACCAGTGCCTCCACAGCTTCCCAAATGACCTACCTGTAAGCCTTGACTGGTTGCACTGCAGGACTGAGCACGGCCCAATCCCTGGACTGCAAAAATGTGGACCCTTGGAATCTGCTAGGACCACACACCTGACTGACTGCAGCCAGCTTCCTGGACTGAAATTGGATAAGTCTGTGACTGACTGTGCTACCCCATATGCTCTTGTGCAACCATTAAGTGACCCAAATTCCACTTTTCCTTTGAGTTGTGAAAGCAACATCTAATAATCTAAATTTGCATTTTCTGTTTTGTATTTCCAAATAAAAAATGTGCAGACATTGCTGACCCTACACCAGTAAAGTTCCATCAATGGAGAACTGCACTGTATGAAACTTCAGCATTTTGTGTTTAACCTAGTGATTGTTTCAATCTTAGGACCTTTATTATTGATTTTGGCAGCAGTGACACCTTATGTTCTAATTCACGCAAGGGCTTGAACACTATTGCTAGAAAACACTGAGCTAGCTTATGTTCCTTAACCAAGTATGAGATTCATATGCACATCACAAAGAACTGTTAACAGTTTCACTGATTTTCCATTAACACAACAGGGGACTGAAGCACGTTCGAGGCAGACAATGCAAAAGTAATGAAAAATTGCTGCAATTTTGTTGTATCTTTGTATACATTGATTGTATCACAACTAGTTATCGATTGATTACTAACTATTTTACATAATTTATAAGGAATTTATTAAAGCTTCCAAATCAATCTATAAGAGATTTTGACATAATTATCCTTCTAATGAGAAATAAGGTGTCCTTGTAAATTGTCTGCAGGCAATGCACAAGTGACCTTCAAAGATAAGTGATTCATTTTAACGATCACCTTCCCAGGAGAGCATTGTAAAAGAAATGAGCTGGCGGCTCCATGTTTGCACCAAGTGGTTTAGCAGAGAATTACAGAGAATTCCAATGTTGGAGTGCAGCCTGGAGGCAAGGATCCAACCCT